GTTACAGTACAAGTTCTCATATGTCCTGAGTCTTAATTGACCTTAGAAGGCTAGGGCCAAAATGTTGGCTTTCCTTGTAGCCCTCCTTTTTCTCTAATTTTGGTCTGCAAACTTAAGTTGTTAACCATCCAGAAGACCCTAATCGGTTTTGAAACTGTCTCATTGTTATTTGTTTCTCAATAAAATTAATAAAAAAGAAAATGATTTCAGGCCACTTACCTAGCTCAGCTGACAGCACTCATTTTCTGCCGATGTCACAGTCACTCCTTCTCAAGCCACTCCCTTCTTCATGAATTAAGAAAACCTGGGTTCAGCATTGGATAACGGTTTTTGTTCCAGCTATCCATCATTGTAGCTGGGCTTAGGATGCCATTGACTCCACACAAATATAAATAGGCCTTGTGTCTTTATTCTTGCCATAGGTTACACTGGAAGTGGTAGATTGGAATTAACTTGCTAGTTAATTTGCATGGGATTACAGATATCAACTTCTCAGACTACAACAAGAACCAGGAAGGGCTCACTATATAGGTCCCAATCCCCTGAGATGAATATAATCATTATGTATTGCAACATACTATTAAAAAGTAGGCAAAAGAAGATATATGCTGAACTATGTAAAAGTAAGGATGCTTATTTACTTTTAAATTAGAAAAAGTACATATAAACAAACATAAAAATTGTCAACAAGAAGTTTTGGCAAATGCAAAAGTTTTAAGTGCTATTTTTGCAAATTTAATTATTTTTTCAATTATTTAAGTTTTAAAGGTGCTGAGGTATTTGGTTCAGGTAACTGGCAGAAGAATGATTAAGAGAAATTCAAGAAATGAAAGTCTAGAGAAAAGGCTGTTTAGTGTCAGTGGGTTCTGTTCAGTAGCATTTTGGGTAGTAAATTTGTTCATCAGAGAGCAGATGTGCTGCTTGAGTTCTCATTACCCAGAAATGCAAGACTTCGGTCACTGCTGTCTCGGACCCACCCTCAGGACCTCATTTTAACTCAGCTGTCTCTTTAGAGACTCTCTTCAAGTACAGTAACATTCTGTGATCCTGAGGTTAGGACTTCAACATATGAAATTGGATGTGGAGCACAACCCATTCCATACCACTCCTGGAGTAGGGTTTCATGGCCATATGATTGTACTGATGGCCTTTGTTTAGATTAAAATTCAAACTAAATAACTAGAAAAATATATTTTAGTCAGAGAATTTTTATCGTGGGATAAGTATTAGATGATATGAAGGAATGATTGTTGATCTCATTAGGTGAAATAATATTATTGTGGTTGTGTAAGTATGTAACTTAAAGGCATAGAGGCCAATGACAAGGTACCTAAGATTTGCTTTAAGATATTGCAGATTATAAAAACAAAAAATGTGGGAAAATGGTCCAAGTACACTGCAATTTTGATAACTGTTGGAACTGGTTAATAGGCATCAGGTACTTTATTTTACCTTTTCTTCATTATATGCTTTGAAATTTTCCATATTCAGGAAAAATAAAAGAATAAACATACCACAGAGAATTTGAAATATAAGCACAAAAAAGAAAAAGCACTCAATACCATTACTGAAACAAAAATACCAATTAACTTTCGTTGATAAATTTCTTTTCAGTGTGTTTTCCACGCACACTTTAATTTTGGTCATATTGTATGTAACAATATTTCTGTTTGCCTGAATAACCATTATATTATAATTTCATTTTCATGTCATTTTGTATTTAACATTTTTTTGTATTTAATATTTAAATTAAACTTTATTACAAATTCTAACTTCATAGGTAATACTTGTAGGTGCTTGTCGCAAAAACTTTAATAACCATCCAGATAGTTATAATATAAAAGCTGAAAGTCATACATTAATTACTGGTCATAATCTTTTATGTATTCTTCACAGTTTCTTTCACAGAAATATACTAAGGATATTAAACCATGAAGATATCTTCATACAGTTAATATTGTCCTGCTACATTATCTTTGTTCTTCATCAGATATTACTATCCTAGAAGGCTTTTGATGTCAGAAATACACAATTATTTCATTCATTTTAATGGCTTCATTCTGCCATTTCTGTCAGAAAGCTTGTTTATTGATCATAACAAAAATGCCAAAAGTGGTAGTTTTTTAAAAAATAAAAGACCTTTTTAAATACATTTCTCACATCATTATTAAATACATTCTTTAGTATTTCATATACATTTAATGCCATTTAGAATGCATTTGCTTCCCTTATATTTTCTAATTAGTGATTTTGTTTACTTGCTTTTATTTTAATGCTTCTTTGGTAGTTTCTGCTTATTTCCCTGACCTCTTTATATGAGGGTGTTCTTGAGGTAGGTTCTTGGATTTCTCTGTGTATACATACTCCCTAGGAAGTTTCTTCTGATTCTAAAGTCCCATTTTCACACAGATTACTACTCCCAAGTATACCTCTCCCACCTCTCTCCTGAGCTTCAGCCTCATAAATCTCACTGCATACTAAATGTCTCCACATGAATGTCACATAAAAGTCTCAAGCTTAGTTTTTTCGAGCACTGACCTCTCTTTTTATCTTGTCAAATGCTACTTGAAACTTTCTCCATCTTATATAATGGCAAATCCATTTTTTTTCAATGAAGCCAAACATCAAACACTTTGGAGTAATCTTTGACTTTTTTCCTTTTTTTATACTTGAATTATTGTGTTAGTAATTTGCACTCAAATCCTTTGTAAGAGAAGTTTACAACTCCAAAATTAGATTTTTTTTTCCCCCTCAGATTTTATCCCTCACAAACAGTCTTGTTTGTCTTTGTTGGTGTGTTTCTCTTGAGGATTCCAGATTTTTCATTTGTTTGTTTTTGACAGAGTCTCATTATATAATGTTTAACTTAGTTTCATGACTCCATTTTTACTTCTAATCTGTGGTAGTTCATAATTTTATATCTTTAAACTATTTAGAAAAAACTATTGAAGTGCTTGTTAACAATACAACGGGGCTTACAAGGGAAACTACAAAGCCCTGATTCACTTACTCCTCACAGACCTATTCCTGAGACCAGACCCTTAGTTTCTAGTTTTGTTTCTTCTGGCGATTACCACTCTTCTCGCTATTTAAATTATCATCTTAATTTATTATTAAGAGAAACATTGATTAACTCATATGCATTGTCATCCACTTTCCTTACCTTTTTCTCCAAAAGTTACACGAAGAGGTATTATAATAAAATAGATAAAAACCCAGACTTTGAGATCTCACTTGTGTGCGCTTAGACAACTTACGCAAGTTTTCTGAGCCTCTTTTCTTCATCCATAAAATAAGGATATTAATAGCTCATTCTACAGAGAATTATTGTGAGGATAAATGGGTTAATATATTTAAAGCACTAAGCTACGATATACATTTTTAAGTTATCTTTATGTGTTTTAATTACTACATTGAATACTAAATTTCATTTTCCTTTTGGTTGCCTTTGTATATTTTTTTTGTGTGTGTACTTGAGTTTTCATTTATTTGGGGTAACAAGCAGGAGTCTGTGGCCCTGACAGGTCATACAAAGTGTGAGAAAGTGACAAATGGTTTCTGCCCTGAGCGGCAAGGCAGGCACATCCCAACTGCATAGCACTGTTTGTCCTAAGTGCTACCAGTCTTTCATTTGAACTGTCCTGACACCGAGTTTCCTTTGCATTTCTCTGATGACCAATGATGCTGAAAACATCTTTTCCCCAGCATTTTGCCGCCTGTGGGTCCTCATGCATGGATGAACTACTGTCCAACTCCTTTGTGTGTTTGTCACTGCAGAGCTGGTTTTTCTCACAGCTGAGGTGTTTTTTGTTTTGCTTTTTGTGGTACCAGGGATCGAACTCAGGACTGCGCTTGCCAGGCAAGCACTTATTCCACTGAGCTATCTCTCCAGCCCAAAGGCTGAGTTTTAAAGAGTCTTATTCTAAGCTAGACATGACTCCTCGGAGGGCCATGTGACCCTCCAGCACTTCCTCCAGTGTGCAGGTTGTCTTCATTCTCTTAGCAACACTTTTGACACATCAAAAGCTTTAAATTTTGATCAGGTCCCATCTTTCAATTTTTGATTTCTCCCCCCCTTCCCCCCCATATTTAGGGAAGGGCCTACAGGGTCTACAGGGTTTCACTACATAGATCAGACTTGTAGTGATTCTGTTTTCAGCCTCCCAAGTGCTGGGAATACAAGCGTGCACCACCATGCCCAGTCTCAATCGTCACTTCAGCACGTCCCAGGGGTGGGCTGGCACAGTTGATTTTATAATCACGTTATTGCTATCCTAAGAACTTTCTGCCTAACCCAGAAAGATTTTGAGAGAATTACAGTTTTTAAATCTATAACAGCTATAATCCATTAAATTTAAATGTGTAAATGTGTGTAAATGTGTATCTAAGATGTAAGGCTGAGCTGAGGTAGGCTGGCTTTTGCTATGGACACATAAGATGAGCGCTTGTTCTAACACATTTGCTGAAGATGAACTGAAGTATTTTTGTACCTCCATCAGCAACCAAATGACTCATTTTCATCCACGTCTACTTCTGCACTTTGTCTCATGCCCTAATCTATATGGCTGCTCTTAACTGGGACCAGGCTGCCAACACTGTAACTTCACAGTAAGTGTAAAATGAGGCACACTTATTCCTCCAACTTTTTCTTTTGCAAAATTGTTCTAGCCAGCCATGGTGGTGCACAGCCATAGTCCCAGCACTGAGGAGGCTGAGGCAGGAGGATCATCACAAGCTCCAGGCCAGCCTGGGCTAGAGTGAGCTACATAGTGAGATCTTGTTTTAAAAACATATATATTCTAGTTTTGTGTTCTACATACAATTTAGAATTAGCTTGCCTATTTGTACAGAACCATCCTGCTAAGACTTTGGCCTGGGACTGAGTTAAGTCTGCAGCCTGTTTGAGGATACTGGTACCCTAACCACATTGGCTCTTCTAGTTCAGGAAAGAAGGCCTGCCTGTCATTTATTCAGGTTTTTGATTGCTTACATCAGCATTTTATAGTTTTCATCACAAAAGGCTTATACCTAATTTTCTTAGGTATAAGAAAGCTCTTATAAAATAGCATTGCCTTTTTAACTTTCTTCCTTTCTTTTCTCCTCCTCCTCCTCTTCCTTCTCCTCCCTCTCCCCCTCTACCTCTCTTTCTTTGAGACACGGTCTTGCTATGTAGTTCACATTGCCTTGAACTCACTATAGAGTCCAGGCTGGCTTGAAATTCATGGCAATCCTCTGCCTGAGCCTCCTGA